CACACACACACACACACACACACACACACACACACACACACACACACACACACAGCCTTCGTAATGCCATAGGTGTGTAAGTTTGGTGTGAGTACAGGGTCATTAGGTTCCCTCTCTCTGAGGAGTGTTAAGTGACTGAAGGGTCAAGGTCAGCTCTCCCTCTACCCCCATCTGCACAGATCTAAATGGGCTTTCCAGGCATGGACATGGACACACACACACACACACACACACACACACACACACACACATAGAACAGTGGTCTGCTGCCGATTCCATGGAGATATGGTTTATCCTCAGAGTCTGTAATTTCCTATTAAAAATGTGGAAATCAGTAATAATGAGTTCATGTTGCGGTGCGCCTGCAGACGGCTTAGCACCCCTTCATCAAGCCACAAGCTCACAAACTGCTGCATCTTCAGATATTTTCCTTTGGCGAAGAGCTTTAGGTGAAAATCATGTCTGGCATTAAAGCTGTAAGAGGAGACTCTTGTAAGAAAAATGCTGCCACTGGGAAAGCTAGTTGAATGATTTGAGGGGTTAATGACTGATTGGGCTGCAACTGTTTTGAATGTAATGAAGCAGAATATGAAAAGGCAGTTTAGAGCATGAGAGAGAACACACACACACACACACACACACACACACACACACACACACACACAGGATACAAAGAGAGGGCTGGAGTGTGTCCAGGCAGCAGAGAGGTTAGTTTGGTTGTGCGTCACAGAGGATGGTGGACACACACATCCACACTAACATCAAGCCACACACAGACAAGTAAATGACAAGGGAGAGCAGACGATCCGCCACAATGCAGCCGGATCCCCGCAGGCAAATTACAACTCTGGCCAGTCAGAACAGCCTCAACCGAACCAGCTCAGCCCAAATCCGAAAGCGGCCCTCACTGCCTTCTATATTTTAATTTCTTTCACTCAAGTCGACTTGAATTGAAAGCCATGTCTGAAAGGCATATTAAAAGTGTCTGTAGCCTGTCCAGTGCAGCAGCAACGACTTATGTCTAAAGAGAGAAAAGGAGAGGAAAGCCACATCTACAATAACCTAATCGCCATGAGACATCTGAGGTTTTTCAGAAAGTCTTTCCAGAGTTTTGTTTTTGTGTATCCATTTGTTTCTCTGTGTTTGTGTGCGTAAGCTATCCCAGGCAGGGAGAGCCAAGTGCGGTTGCTATTTGTGTAAACAGTGGATGGCTGTTCAGGCCTTTTATTTTACACACCAACGCCACGGGCCCTCTGTGTAATGTTTTATAATAGTTAATTACAAGGAGAGGCTTTTCCCCTCCGAGACCCGATATATAATCCAGATCCAAACAGAAAGGCGAACCTCACCACAGAACCCAAACAAGGTATCGAGGACATTGATTCATTGTCCAATTACATTTTTGCCCACCTCATTATTTATTCAGGGCAGCGCTTGCTAAACAGCCATGCTATTTTTCCAGCACCGCCCTGATTCATGGTTGCATACATTCACACCTGGGTGGTGCCGGTACAGTTTGGAGCTCCAGTGCTGGAGACCTATGCCAGCTGTTTATTAAGAGATGAAAGAGACGTGAGCAAGTAAGTCAGCAGAAAAAAAGTGAAATATCAATGGTTTGATGTGAAACTTTAAACTCCGGTTTTCCTGATTTGATTACTTCAAAGAAAGTCAAAAAGACAAGGCAGGCGGCATTTACAAGCTGCCAACTTGTAGAAGATTTATAAAAGACGTTCCTTTGACTCATGTGGGTGTTAACTCAAAATTGTAAGGAAGGTCTGCATTAGTCCAAGGATCGTAAAAACTAGATTATATAAAAACAAGGAACCAGCTAAACAAAAGTTCAATTGGCAATATAAGCCCGATAGTGCAGACTATTACAGTATATTTACACAAGTGAGTATTTATTTAGCTGTCGACCTCAAAGCTCACAATGAAAAAAAAAGTATACACATTAAAAAATACAAACACCAGCTTGTATATTGTCTTGATAAACCTCATCATACTACTACTCTGTGCTTAATCATCCTCAAAAAGAAGTTCAATTTGGCATGAAAGACAAAAAAACTGGATTCCTTTGAAACATACTATCGATCAAAACAACAAGTCTCTCTTTGCGGGAACTGTCATCACTCCACCTCCATCTTTCCTTCGCTTTCTTCCCCTCCACCTCGTTCTCAACTCGAGGTTCTCTCTTACAAAAAAAAAAGATGAGCTGCTTGCAGCATGAAGCCACAGCTGTTGGAGCATGATTAGGGATGTTCCTCAGCTTGTGCTATATAGGTTTTTTAAACGTACTCAGATATGAACTGTGGGGACTCTGTGAATGAGCTGGGAGAGAATTTGGGGATTTAAGGGCACTATTAAAATATTATAAAACGAATATATAGGCTACAAATTACACAGGAAAGCACTTTAAGCATTAACACTATGTGTGAAGACAAACATCACCATAACCTTATAATGTTCCATTAAGGATATTATGGGAGAAGTATATGCCTACTATAGAAGATGCATTGACCAAGGATAATAAATATGGCAATAACATCACAACTAATTATGACTGACACAGTAGCTATAACATGCTTAAAGAAAGAATAAATAGGAATAAGTAGAGAGATAGGCAGATACACTTTGGTTGGTTAGATTGTGTGTGCTTAACAAAAGAAATATCGTAATTGCAGCTTTTGCGATTGCGTTCAGCCGGACTTCCCCTTTACATGCAGACAGAAATTCCTTGCTTTATAGTGACCTTTATATGGTTTATATGGTCTCATATAAAACAAGTTTCAGCAAGCTTGTTTCTCTTTTAATTGTATTAGTTGAAGATACCCACCCACCCACACCCACCCACACCCATCTATTCACTTCTGTAACAGGTTTGAATAGTAACCAAAGGTCAGAGGTCACCTGTCGAATTTGAAGGTGTAGCTAGAGGTGCTACGAATTGTGTGTGCTTGTGTGTGAGGGGAGGTGTGTGATTAGGGGGAAGTAGGAAAATATGGAAACAATATAAAAGAGATTGGATTTGAGGTGCATGGTGGGTTTTCGTTATTCAAAGCTGTGCTCAAAAAAAAAAAAACTTGTTTTACTTGTTTTTTCCAAACCAGGCTTGGACACAATCACAGTCACACGCACAAGTAGTTAACACCAGTGCACTTCCAGTTTTTATTAGTGCAGAATGCCAAAATGTGATGTAATATTGTGGAATTGGTGCATAGCTGTTGGTAACCAGACATGTAGAGCTAGCAACAAGCTCATCACTGTTAATTGTTAGTATGTTGCATTCAATCCGTTTCTCATCTGCTGTGTGTTGTCTTCCCATAACCAAATGGGTTTAGAATTTACAGACTGATGCATTGTGGGCACAGGCGTTTGTTTCGTATTGTGTGAGAACAATTCAACATCAGTTCGGTCTGCAGGCGTGATGTTTATGCCAGCAACACTTCAGAAGTTTGTGGTTTGAATGTCTCTAAAGTTTCCCTTTTAAATA